GGATACAGAGAGGGGTTAATATCCCAGGGGGGATACAGAGAGGGGTTAATATCACAGGTGGGGATGCAGAGAGGGGGTAATATCACAGGGGGGATACAGAGAGGGGATAATATCACAGGAGGGGATACAGAGAGGGTGTACTATCACAGGAGGGGATACAGAGAGGAGGAAATATCACAGGGGGATACAGAGAGGGGTTAATATCCCAGGGGGATACAGAGAGGGGTTAATATCACAGGAGGGGATGCAGAGAGGGGGTAATATTAGAGCAATGAGGAATACAGAGAGGGGTAATATTACAGGAATGGATGCAGAGAGGGGGGTAATATTACAGGAGGGATGCTGAGAGAGGTACAGAGAGGTAATGTCACAGGAAGGGATACAGAGAGGGGGTAATATAACAGGAGGGGATACGGAGAGGGGGAAATATCACAGGAGGGGATGCAGAGAGGGGGAAATATCACAGGGGGATACAGAGAGGGGGTAATATCACAGGGGGATACAGAGGGGGTAATATTACAGGAGGGGATACAGAGAGTGGGTAATATCATTGGATATTACAGGAGGGGATGCAGAGAGGGGGTAATATTACAGGAGGGATACAGAGAGGGGGTAATATTACAGGAATGGATACAGAGAGGGGGTAATATTACAGAAATGGATACAGAGAGGAGGTAATATTACAGGAGGGGATACAGAGGGGGGGTAATATTACAGGAGGGATACAGAGAGGGGGGTAATATTACAGGACTAGATATTAATATTACTCTACTAAGCAGTGCACCTGCATTCAGCAAAGGTCAAACACTGCAATCAAACGTAAACATTAAATAATGAGGAGATGGTACCGTTTCATAGTGCACATTATGCCGATCTGATTTTTGTTTTACTGTTAGTGTACTCACAAGAGGCTTCACCCTACCATAGGTTGACCCACTACCGTGAGCCCCATTAGAGGAACACCCTAAATGTCGATTGCCATAGCCCACAGATACCTGTAGCCTCGTTTCGACTCGATATTATCCCTCCCCCCCAGGGGACGCACAAGGCCATTCCAGTTTAAAGTTATTAATTTCTTCCTCACTGGACATACTGAGTGGCAGAATAAAGTGTCTGTCCTGTTTCCGTCCTGTTACCCAGTAAGGGTGGTGGTTATAGATGTCAGAAGAGAAAAGGAGAGCAGCGGCCCGATTAGTTCAGGTTTGATAATCAGGACCGTGTGCAGCCAATAGCAAAGCTGTATATGGTTTGGACTGGATTTGTGCCAGGGCTCCATAATATGGAATATTGATTTGCATGTACAGATTCTTCCAAATGTGTATACTTAAAGAGACACCACAGTCACCAGAACAACTACAGCTTAGAGTAGTAGCTCTTGTGATTATTGTATGTCCCTGCAGCCGCTCTGCTGTAAACACTGTTTTCAGAGAAAAGACAGCCTAGGAACATAGCCACTAGAGGTGCTTCCAGGGTCAGTGCGACTGACATTCACTGGAAACACTGAACTTTCCTCATAGAGATGCTGATTTGCTAGAGTGGTGTTTGGCTCCTCCCTCCACCCTGCCTTTTTGGCTGAGATCATTAAGAATTGACAATCTCAGCCAATCCAATGCTTTCCTACGAAATAAGGAGAGTTTTTACTATATTTATGAAGGGGAGCCAAGGGGCTACATCGTGTTTTTTAACACTTTAGGTTCAGAAATACACATTTGTTCCTTTAAAGTCACACTTGTAAATAGTATTAACCATTATGTTACAAAAATAAATTTAAAAAAAAAAAGACAAAAACACAGACACGTACACAGTGCATTTTATTGGATTCTCTCAGTCTCGCCCTTTAAACCACCTGCAGGGGGTCTCTGTCAGTTTGGGACACCACAACCTGCACTTTCCCTTTCAGTCGTTCCTCGAGCTGAACCCGCAGCTCCTTCAGATATCCCCGCTCAGAGTTACTGTGCTCACACAGAACAACGCTTCGTCCTTCAGCCACCGCATCCAGGACATCATGATGGGACATCTCACCTGCAGGGGCAAAGAGACAATGGAATATCCCCATTATCCAATTCATAAGCCAAACCCTGGTACCTAAGAGGACATCCTTTAAAGTTAACAGCAGCAGGAGGACTAGTTAGAGCCCAGAGCAGTGAATCGTTTCTTGGAATAGAAAAGGTCCAACAACCAGTGCTCAGCTAATAAATCATCACATATTGCCTTTTACAAACGTATATGCTATACTAGATAAACAGTTTGACAAATAATTGCTGGCACCAATTTGCCAGTTCCTCTGCTATGTTTGGCTAATGTGTGCGGACTTCCTAATTAGCCTTCCAACCTTGGTGGGCAATCACGGCTTGGAACACTGAGTTTTACTGCAATCTGGATTAGTTATGATGCAAGGAATAATCTGGCCTGTTTCTCCGGTAATGGGAAAACCAGTTTGCCCCGCTGGGCTCAAATGCTCCCGGATGGTCCAGTGAGGCACTTCCAGCTTCTGCAGAGCTGCAATGACGCTGCTGGAGGCGGAGTTACACCTTCGTCAGAAGAGGGATTAGACTCCGTAAGCGCGTTTTAATGCAAGACGCTGCATATACAGGCTTGAGGCACCATGATCACTTCAAATCACTGAAGTTGTCATGGTACCTGGAGTAACCAGGTTCAGAGATTAATATATGGAGGTTAAACGGTATTCACTGGGGGGGTACAGGTTGTTACCCGTTAGATAGAGATCTGCAGGGACTCCACTGAGAACGCTGCTCCCTGATCCGGCACAAACAGCTACCGTGCTCACTGAGGATTCTGAGAAAGAGAGGAATATATGTATTATATTTTAGCCAAGAGTAATACTAAAAAAAACTGATTATTAAAGACCTAGGAAAATATCCACCCATAACATTCAATAAGGAAGTGGCTAATTTATCTCAGCCAATCCATAACCCCCTGTGAAATCAGCATTAGAGGCACTATACGCCATGTAAGCTGCTCATGTCAATTGATGGGAAATGTTTGAACACACACACAGCTGTCAGACGTTCACAGAAAATGTGAGAAGGCACATAAGTGCAAACGGCTTGCGTTAAGTTCTCTAGGAAAGCGCCAGGCATGCACAGGAACGAGCATAAAAGAATAGAAGCCTAGTCAGAGAAGTACAGGAGGATTGAAAAAAAGTGTTTTATATTTTTCTACTTTTACACATTTTCATACAAAATAATTTGTAGACACTTAGAGGTCACATGTACACTGCCCTTTAGAAGAGTGGAATTATAGATAGCTGTTTATACAGAGAGCAGCAGAGAAAGAGATAGTCATGTACGCTAGTCAAAGGGCAGAACATTATTTACTGGGGAATACAAGACGTTTCTCGGTTTGTGAAACTCTGTGAAAAGTTAGTGGTCGATGTTCACTTCATGCAGGACTGAGATGTATCTTCGTATTGTTAATTCACAAATAGCAAGCTGTACATATACAGGGAGGGCAGCGATGTTAAACATACATTACACCCACCCAAGGTTTTGCCCCTTCCAATGCCCAGGCGCAGGTGATTTAAGCCCACGTGAGTTTTAATGCGTTCAAGTGCAGTTGCTAAGGAAACTGGTTCAGTCAGCGTGCAAAGACGACCCATCCCAGTGTCCAGAAGAGGGGGCTGCAGGAGAGATAAGAAGGTTATTTTCTATAAAGGGCTAAAGGGCACATTATGTGTCTGTAAGATGTAGTTATGGTGACCTTCTGCAGGGTGAGGAGCTCCACACTTCTATACACACATGGATCTTCAGTTAGGATTGATAGAGTCTGCTGTAAAGCCTTCTGGGAGCAGCTGAGACGGACGCGGGTTCTTTTCTCTCCCTCCTCGCTGGTGGGTAAAATACATAATGCTTATGGTTCATAGCGGAATATTCAGAGAGTGGACATGTACTATTCTCATAGTGTAGAAATACCTGACTTGAAAGGTGCGCAGACAGACCCCCTGCAGGGATTTTACTCTGGATAATACACTCTCAGAGAGGCCACAGCTGAACTCCAAGACGTGGGCATTTCCTCCAGGGTGGGACAGCGACAAGGAGGCACGCAGAGGTAATGATACGCATGGTCCTGGAGATATATACACGTTATAAAAAGATATGACAGTTAGAAGCAGACATGGGGGGTTAAAGCAGATAGAGACTGTTTGGGATTGAAAGGAACACACAATTTAAAGAGTTTGTAGAGGCTAGAAACCAGTCAGATACCATGTAGAATTTAGATTGATTATTTTTGAAGGCATGTAAGATGTGCATCTCAGAAATTAAAAATGAAAAAACACCCCCAATAATTTTACCAACAGTGTCATTTTTATGAATCAAGGCTTTCCAGGATATAATGCAAGAGAAAGTTAGCCCAAATTACACAGAAGAAGGACACAAAAACAGGCAAATAATTAAAGAGGCCAAAACAGACAAGCAGTGCTCTATTACCAGTTGCTCTACCGAGCCAGTCATTAACTCCTTTGGAGAGGGCATCATAGGCAGTGTGGGGAGAGTAGATGGCTATCCGTTTCTCCAGGGCCTTCACCATCAACCTCTCCTTCCAGTTCCCACAAGTGAGGCGCTTCAGAGCCTTGAATATGGGAGGGTGATAGGACAGGACCATTTCAGCACCCATTCCCACCGCCTCCTCCAGCACATCTTCCGTCAGGTCATTGGTCAGCAGGAGTTTCTGGACCATGTGTGGAGGTGTGGGTTCCACCAAGAGACCTACATTATCCCAGCTCTCTGCCAAAGCTGGGGGAGCAAATGCATTCAGATGAGAGACCACTGCACTAAGATCCATTACACCGCGCTGTGCTAACCACCTACTCAGACTGACTGGTTGAAGGAGACTCTTGAAGGTCCAGCTCAGCAGCATCCAGTGAGGGTAAAGTGTGATAGAAAGCCAAAGAGAAAAAGTCTAGATAGAGAGAAAAATTGAGATATGGAACTGGACTTAAATTAAACAAACTAAGGAAAATATGCTGTGGATAATGCAGACATTACACTAACTACACAATGTGTAAAGAAAGCAAAAATACACACAAATAGAGGTAAACAGCCCGTAACTAAATTCTTAATCCTTCAAGTGCCATTGACACACATAATTCAAAGGCCCTGTTGTCTACTTTTATGCTGAAACAAAGGCATGGTCAGGAGGAAAAAAACAAACCTAACAATTGACAGTAAATGTCTAAGCTATACTTTTCCCAGTAATCCATCTTGTATAAAGAACATACCTTTTGTGACGAACTGAACCTCGTCACGGGTTCATGGAGGGGCCTGCCTCAGGACTATGGCCCCTTGTTCAGGACTGTTAAAAGGCTCTGTTTATGTGAGTTATGCACTTTTGTACTCCAGAAAGAGAGACCAACCGTTAGCCCTGATTCCCTGGAACTGTTTTGGGCATAGGACAACATACACGGTCTGTCAAAATTACGACTTACATGGAAATCCCAAACCCCTGAACCGATCTGGGCGATTTTTAGATGGGGGCTATCAGGGGATGTGACTTTTGTGGAGTCTCCATGTGTTTTGGGGGTACTTTCGGGATATCGTTAAAATGTATGTTTTCTGTGCCTGGGGAGAATTGACTTTAGTACAGTTCTTGACTCAATTATCTCTCAGGCACAAGGGAGGGATTACCCTGTTTTGTGTGGCAATGTCCTGGACCGGAGAGTTAATGTAATTACGAGTAAATTTTACTGTAGTTTCCTCTCAGGTCCAATATGTATCCAGAAACCCCACGCATGGAGAGTTGCATACAAGGCTGCATATGGCTTCCATTAAACCAGTTCCTCTACATCCTCAAAATAGAGCCTTGTCTCATGTTTGGAGGGAACAGCTATATTTTCTCTGGTGATTGATATACCACTATACTCCCGTGGATTATAACTGCTAGCTCTTGTAAGAGCTATCAGGCTGGACTCTCTGGAGTAGGAGAGGTCGGGGTGCCAGGCGGTCCGCCACACCTTTTACTGGAGTGACAGCCCCTACTTGAGGTATAAATCACTCAGTCCATCATTTTTTGTGTAAGAGTGTGTGTAACCGAATATACACAGAGTGCCTGAGTGTATAACAGAGCTCCACAGTAATAATACTCCCAGTAATGTGTCTGAGTGTATAACAGAGCTCCACAGTAATAATACTCCCAGTAATGTGTCTGAGTGTATAACAGAGCTCCACAGCAATAATACTCCCAGTAATGTGTCTGATTGTATAACAGAGCTCCACAGCAATAATACTCCCAGTAATGTGTCTGAGTGTATAACAGAGCTCCACAGCAATAATACTCCCAGTAATGTGTCTGAGTGTATAACAGAGCTCCACAGCAATAATACTCCCAGTAATGTGTCTCAGTGTATAACAGAGCTCCGCAGCGATAATACTCCCCGTAATGTGTCTGCGTGTATAACAGAGGTCCATGGCAATAATACTCCCCGTAATGTGTCTGCGTGTATAACAGAGGTCCATGGCAATAATACTCCCAGTAATGTGTCTGAGTGTATAACAGAGCTCCACAGCAATAATACTCCCAGTAATGTGTCTATGTGTGTATAACAGAGCTCCACAGTAATAATTCTCCCAGTAATGTGTCTGAGTGTATAACAGAGCCCCACAGCAATAATATTCCCAGTAATATGTCTGAGTGTATAACAGAGCCCCACAGCAATAATACTCCCAGTAATGTGTCTGAGTGTATAACAGAGCTCCACAGCAATAATACTCCCAGTAATGTGTCTGAGTGTATAACAGAGCTCCACATCAATAATACCCCAGTAATGTGTTATAACAGAGCTCCACAGCAATAATACTCCCAGTAATGTGTCTGAGTGTATAACAGAGCTCCACAGCAATAATACTCCCAGTAATGTGTCTGAGTGTATAACAGAGCTCCACAGCAATAATACTCCCAGTATTTAAACTACAATAAATGTTTACAAATTAGTCTTTGCAAATAAACCATTGATTGTGAATAATAATATTCGGTAACACAGTCGTACAGCGCTGCGGAATGCGTTGGCCCTTTATAAATGCCAGTAATAAATCAATATAACAGTTTATGGATTGTGTGCAGTGTATGCCCAGTGACACATGGTGGCAGAACTGGAAACCTTCCTCTCCAACAATAACCAACAAATAGAAAATAATTACAAAGTATCATAGCAATCTCTGACTCTGTATCAGGACAGTCTGTAATTAGCTGCTCTGCTCACACAGTCTCCATGTAAAGGCTCTGCAGGCTGTTTAATGGAAGTACCTGCATTCACTCTGCATTCACTAACCAGCAGCAGCAGCAGCAGCAGGTATAACCCGGAAACTAACTCTAAACTGAGGACATGGACACCGCCATCTTGCTGCTCCCACAGAACCGGAAGTCCAGCCTCACACTCATGGTTGGCAGACAGGAAGTCGGCCATCTTGGTACTCCCAGGAAGTGGCAGCAAGCTCGGAGGAGTAACAGGCGGCGGCCATCTTGGTTCACCCTCTGGAGCCCAAACGTGAGTTTGCAGAGCATTGTGAGCATTGTGAGCATTAGCTCCTCCAGTTTGTTGAGAATAACTTTGTTTTCCTGTGTGTTATGGGCTGTGGCAGTGGGTATTGCAGGATAGATTATCTCATGGATTTGTTCAGTTTATTGGATTTATTAAACACTTTGCTCTCTATCTGCACCAGGTTAATGTAAACACTGACAGTAATCAACACAGTAAAGGAGGAGACTGTAATTAATGGAAGGAAAACTACCACAACAAGAGGACATAGTCTTAAATTAGAGGGACAAAGGTTTAAAAATAATATCAGGAAGTATTACTTTACTGAGAGGGTAGTGGATGCATTGAATAGCCTTCCAGCTGAAGTGGTAGAGGTTAACACAGTAAAGGAGTTTAAGCATGTGTGGGATAGGCATAAGGCTATCCTAACTATAAGATAAGGCCAGGGACTAATGAAAGTATTTAGAAAATTGGGCAGACTAGATGGGCCGAATGGTTTTTTATATGCCATCACATTCTATGTTTCTATAATCAATATTAATAATAATAAAAACTGACAATGATATTAATAATGATATAAAGTGATAATGAATTGTAACGACGGTTAAAAGTTACAATAATGAATAGTGAGAATTATAAAAAGTAATAGTAATTAAAAGTGATAATAATGAATGGTAATTATAATAATGGTGTAATATCAAAATGTTTAGCCAGGGAGGCTGCAGTTCTCAGTAGTTTCATGTGTACTGGGATATCTGTATAATAATAATAATAATTCCTACGTCATGTTCCTGGGTTACCGCGTGGACACGTATCATGTATACATATTGATGGGGAGCGCATAGAAAGTGCCCTGCAGCCCAGGTAGGATATCATGTCATCACTGAGGAATCATGCAGTGTATGAATTCTGTATACTGCAGGGCACTTTTGTTATCCTGATTTCATACTCCCTGCTGACCCGCTTGCCGCAGTCTCACTGTCCTTGGTTATTATTGGGATCAAGAACAACTCCAGTAGCATGCAAGAGCGCTACTACAGTGCCAGCGGTATTCAATAAAGTAAGGATTCAAAGTCAATGGATCCAAGGTGAATTTCACATTAAGGGTAAAATAGCCGACTGGAAAACTTATCTTATGTGTGGCAGTCCTGCACAATTATATATAGAACAATAAATAAAATAACACTAGGGTAAAAAAAATACCTATTCAAATGACCCTTCCATGCAAATGTGTTTTGGTTAAATCAATCTCTGCAGTTTTTACTCAATACATTGCTTCATTTCTCTTTATAGGATGTAACATTCTATCCATCTCAATGAGTTGGATTATGCAGAATTTTTCATGAGTTCCTGATTTTTCTTTTTCCCATACTTGGTTCTATTGTAAAAGTCCCAATGAAATAATGTGTTTTATTTTCTCATTTTATTGATCAGAGCCCTTCCCGTAGCCTGAAATGGTGAGTGCATGCCTTCTGTCCATTGTTACCTGTAAAGAATTCCTTGTTAATCAAGGTATAACTGTGTCTGTCTGTCTGTCTTCCCCACACAGGCTGTGACACTTCACACTGATTTAGGAGACATTAAAATCGAAGTGTTTTGTGAGAGAGCACCTAAAGCATGCGAGGTAAGTAAACGGTTACCAAACTGGGGGAATATGTGCCCAATGTAACTGTTTTATATTTTTATACCTGGAATGGAAAACCACATCGCTTCTTATAGCGTTAAACTGTTAGTGTGCTCAGGCTGTACCACTGTCAGATTTAGCAGGAACGGGTGAATTTTTATTTATTATTCAAATTTAATCTCAAAATAGCCAAACTGAAGACTTGCTGATTTTGGTTATGTTTCCAGGTTAGCTATTGTGTCTAAAAATTTGAAATTCACATTGAATTTCCATCAATTAAAGGGTTACTCTAACTCTTTATAACATACATTTTATTTTAATTACCGATGCTCTATTAGGCTGTTCTAGGCTGGATTTCTGTGAAAGCGACCTCGCCACTGGTTTTTGGAGGGGACTGATTGCCGGCCTCATACCTTCTGACTATGGCCCCTGGGAGATTGTGCCCTTTAACAACAGTCTTGGGGCTTATGGCTGGGTCTCTGTGTTATGAGTTGTTCGAGGCTTTATACACATTTATTGGGTATTGTTCTAGGCTGAGTCTCTATGTTATGAGTTGTTCGAGGCTTTATACACATTTATTGGGTATTGTTCTAGGCTGAGTCTCTGTGTTATGAGTTGTTCGAGGCTTTATACACATTTATTGGGTATTGTTCTAGGCTGAGTGTGTTATGAGTTGTTCTAGGCTTTGTGTGCGTTTATTGGGTATTGTTCTAGGCTGGGTCTCTGTGTTATGAGTTGTTCTGGGCTTTGTGTGGGTTTATTGTGTGTTCTAGGCTGGGTCTCTGTTATGAGCTGTTTGAGGCTTTGTGTGCATTTATTGGGTATTGTTCTGGGCTGGGTCTCTGTGTTATGCGTTGTTTGAGGCTTTGTGTGTATTTATTGGGTATTGTTCTAGGCTGGGTCTCTGTGTTATGAGCTGTTTGAGGCTTTCTGTCCATTTATTGGGTGTTGTTCGAGGCTTTGTGTCCATCTATTGAGGATTGTTCTAGGCTGCGTCTCTATGTTATGCGTTGTTCTAGGTTACTGTATAATAACTTTGGCTTTCAATGTGTCTCTTAGAACTTCCTCGCTCTATGCGCCGGTAACTATTACACTGGGTGCCTCTTCCACAGGAACATTAAAGGCTTCATGGTACAAACAGGAGATCCTTCAGGTGAGTTCATACATTAATGTAAATGCATCCTGCTGTGCTTGTTTCTAATTGTAAAGAAAAGGCTGTGTGCGAGAAGTCGCTAGACGTGGTCATTTGGCTACAGCTATATAGTGATTCTACATACTGAATGTCATTGAGAACAACCCAATTCTAAAGCAGTATATATCAGGAGCCTTGTATGCTGAGTATCCTCTTTTATAGTATCAGAACTCATTCTTCTCTATCACTGTTGTCACTGAACTCTTTATCCTCTTCCCCTTGTTTTCCCTTGCCCTTGTCTGCTGTGGCTAATAGTTTCTCATTCTACTCAGGTTCCGGAAAAGGAGGTCAAAGCATCTGGGGCCGGAAGTTTGAAGATGAATTTAGTGAATACTTGAAGGTGTGTGTTTCTGATTTAATATCTGATTCTGTTGTTTGATAGATCTGTTCTAAATGTGGAACTTGCACTGCTGAGATGGACCTCTTCTAGTTAGGGGATCCAGTCCATTACTTACAGGTGTCTAATTCACACTCACAGCCAATATTCACTTTAACATTTGGCGTTTTCCCGTAACTCTAACAGTGCCAGGGACCTCTAGAATTAAAATAAATAAATATTGCACATCTTTCTAAACAGTGGAGAGTCCCCTCTCACCGCTGTTCCATATACCCTGGAGAGACTGCTGCCATCACAGATGAAAGTTGGTATGTGTGCAGCTATTACCTTGAATATACCAATCAAATATAGCACTCGCATAATCGCATTTGTGTCATAGGGAAGCAATAATTAACAAGGAAACCCTCATGGCATTCGCAAATTGTCCAAAATCAATTCATAAAATTGCCAATTTAACTTCCACTCGGTCACTCACTTCATGTTAGCGATGCAGGCTCACTGGATGTGGCTGTATAATATCGAAGGACATATTGAAAAAATAATTTCTGTCCTTAGTAACAATTATTGCCACTGGGTACCGAACCGCTTCCAGAAGGAACTCGGTAGAGTCTGACGAGGGTCTCTGTGCTCACATAACTCTGTTTCTGTGGTGTGGCCCTAATTATACTGAAAGCAACATTAAGGGAATGCTGTGTAGCTACAGTTCTTCTAGCATGTTGGAACAAGGCTGTGGAACACAATCTCGCTTCCCTGGTTAAAGAAAGCCTTTCATTGGTCTGGCTGTTGAGCGGTCCATTGGTGATGTTTGCTAGTGAAAGTAACAAAGAATGTCACATCAGCAGCGTCATGTCATTTGTTTTCGCCCACAATTCTAAGCCAGGTATTTTATGGCATAATTTTCACCATCACTGCACTCTGGTTTAGGAGAAGAGCGCCCTTTAGAGAGATTAATCACTTGGCAGGGGGTGACCTGGGGTTGGACAGATGCTACCTGCCTGACTGCATAGTACTCACTATGAAACGTAGTCACAGAGGAGTCGTGGCCTGGCCCTGTTTTCTTTGTCTTGCATAAGCCTTTATGTTTCAGTGGGGGGAGGTTTTTTGTTTTTTTATTAACATTATGACATTCAATGGCATTCTAGATATTTCAGTGTTTCTAACTTTGTGGCACCAGAGAGGTGGAAGGTCATTTCCTTTCGCAACATTAGGAAGTCTCTGTGCCCAAAGCAACATCTATATTTAAATTATTTACATCAGAGCCAGAGAGCATGATGAGCCTGCACAGAGCCTGTGTCTCAACCCCATCGAACACTATTGAAAATTTAATTGGAAAGGTAATGATGAGCATGGCTCTATGACCCAACATCTGCACCCATCTTCTCCAATCCTCTAGCTGAATGGAAACAAGTTTCCAGCAACACCCTGCCATTCTCACGGGGTCAATGGGTCTTACCATGTTGTAACACCCACCCTCCACTGCCATCCCCTCTGCTGCGATTGGCCTTGCTTTGGGACACTTGCCCAAGCTGGGCAGTTTTCTTTGATGATTTCGACATCTGACTTGCACTTCCAGCACGTCAGAATCAGAACATTGTTAACTCCCCCAGCCAGAACAAGACACACTTGGTGAGGAACTACAGAGAACCACATTTGGGAGGGTTCTCCTGTTTTCCCTGTCGCTCAGTCCTCTGCTTAGATCTACATGCTATCAGCTGGAAGTTGTATGTACCATGACAGGTCCAATTAAAGGGCTACCCAAACAGGAATGAAATCTCAGATTGTATTTAGTATAAATCATACAGCAAACAGTGGAATCGGGCATTTCCAGTTGATTCTGATAACTGATGTCTTTCCTTTATTATGTCCCCAGCACAGTGTACGAGGAGTCGTCTCAATGGCCAACAACGGTCCCAATACTAATAGTTCCCAGTTCTTCATTACATATGGCAAACAACCCCACCTGGACATGAAGTACACCGTGTTTGGGAAGTAAGTATGGTGGAGACCACTCTACACATTGCGATCCCTGTTTTGGGTGGACTCCTCTTCACCATCCCCTCCTCTCTTCTCTTTGTATACACTTATTCTTACGGGCCTATGACTCTTCCTGCTGTAGAATGATTGGGGTTTCCGAGTCTATAATTATCCTTTTGTCTGGATGTAGGATTTGGGGGAATTAGAATTATTGGGGTGCTTCATTTTGTAAGTAATGTAAGTAATTTTCTCTGAAAATCATGTAGAGTGATGGCTGCTGTTTTAGGGTCCCCTATCCTGTAACTGTCCTCTCTGTCTATCAGGCAATTGGAGCAGTATTTGGGTGCCCTATTCTGTAAACATCCTCCTCTCCTTCTGTAGGGTGAGCAGTATTGAGGTGATCTCTTCTGCAACTATCCCCTTCCCATGCTGTAAGGTTTTAGAAGCCGTATTGGGATGTCCTATTCTGTATATTTCTCTCACTCATGCCATTGGGTGATTGGGGCAGTATTGGGATGTCCTATTCTGTACATTTCTTTCGCTCATGCCATTGGGTGATTGGGGCAGTATTGGGATGTCCTATTCTGTACATTTCTCTCGCTCGTGCCGTTGGGTAATTGGGGCAGTATTGGGATGTCCTATTCTGTATATTTCTCTCGTTCGTGCCGTTGGGTGATTGGGGCAGTATTGGGATGTCCTATTCTGTATATTTCTCTCGCTCGTGCCGTTGGGTGATTGGGGCAGTATTGGGATGTCCTATTCTGTATATTTCTCTCGCTCGTGCCGTTGGGTAATTGGGGCAGTATTGGGATGTCCTATTCTGTATATTTCTCTCGTTCGTGCCGTTGGGTGATTGGGGCAGTATTGGGATGTCCTATTCTGTATATTTCTCTCGCTCATGCCGTTGGGTAATTGGGGCAGTATTGGGATGTCCTATTCTGTATATTTCTCTCGTTCGTGCCGTTGGGTCATTGGGGCAGTATTGGGATGTCCTATTCTGTACATTTCTCTCGCTCGTGCCGTTGGGTGATTGGGGCAGTATTGGGATGTCCTATTCTGTACATTTCTCTCGCTCGTGCCGTTGGGTGATTGGGGCAGTATTGGGATGTCCTATTCTGTACATTTCTCTCGCTCGTGCCGTTGGGTGATTGGGGCAGTATTGGGATGTCCTATTCTGTACATTTCTCTCGCTCATGCCGGTGGGGTAGTGGGTTGGTATTGGGATGTCCTATTCTGTATATTTCTCTCGTTAGTGCCGTTGGGTCATTGGGGCAGTATTGGGATGTCCTATTCGTATTTCTCTCTAAATTTCGTGCCGTTGGGTGATTGGGGAGACGTATTGGGATGTCTCTGTTTCTCTCGCTCGTGCCGTTGGGCGTTGGGGTGCGGTATTGGGATGTCCTATTCTGTATATTTCTCTCGCTCGTGCCGTTGGGTGATTGGGGCAGTATTGGGATGTCCTATTCTGTACATTTCTCTCGCTCGTGCCGTTGGGTGATTGGGGCAGTATTGGGATGTCCTATTCTGTACATTTCTCTCGCTCGTGCCGTTGGGTGATTGGGGCAGTATTGGGGTGTCCTATTCTGTACATTTCTCTCGCTCGTGCCGTTGGGTGATTGGGGCAGTATTGGGATGTCCTATTCTGTACATTTCTCTCGCTCGTGCCGTTGGGTGATTGGGGCAGTATTGGGATGTCCTATTCTGTACATTTCTCTCGCTCATGCCGTTGGGTGATTGGGGCAGTATTGGGATGTCCTATTCTGTACATTTCTTTCGCTCATGCCGTTGGATGATTGGGGCAGTATTTGAGTACCTTGTTTGGTAACTATTCATTTTTCTATTATAGAGTAATTGACGGCCTTGACACACTGGATGAGTTGGAGAAGCTGCCCGTACATGAGAAATCATTCCGCCCTCTTACCGAAGTTCGAATAAAAGATGTCACCATTCACGCTAACCCCTTTGCTCTCTAGTCTGTGTTATCAGGATTATCATTACTGATCCCACATTACTGCATAGCTAATACATCATCTGTGGGCTACCCATGGCTTCCAGATTATCACTCTGGGAATTTGTAACTTGCAATGATCAGAAATGGACTTCTGCCTACACATAAATGATGGATATCCTCTCTGTTTATCCAGGACTTGGTCTAATTCTGTTATACATACAGTGCCAGATTTCACCTCAATGTCCAGTTTCATGTCTTTTTGTATTGATCTGTGAATGTTTGTGAAATTAAATTCATTTTTAAGAAAAATTCATCAATGTAAAAGAAGGTGGTGACAAGACTGTATATAGAATAGTGGGTTGTTGTTTTTTTTAATGCAGATTACATCAATTAAAAAAAACACCTTTATTTGAAGGATCTTTAAAGGAAACATTTAAATTTCAGTAGAAAGATACAATAGAAAATCCCATCTAATTTTCATAAGTCTTGAAAAATCGAATGAATAGAAAGTAACAAAACCAAAAGAAAAAATAAAGATAACTTTTTTAACCCCTTTATGCCATCCGCATTATAATGGGCTTTAAAGCCGCTGCGGCGGCATGCAACGCCGTAACGGCTGAAGCCCCCAGGAGGTAAGATCTACTTACTTCCGCCGTGATCCTCCTTGGGAGGAATGCCTAACAGCCCAGGCAGCCTTCCCGCGGCAAAGGCAGCCTTCCCGCGGCAAATCAAAGAGCGATCACAGGGCACCCTATAGCTGGCTGTGGATCTGCCAGCAGGGGGACTGTCTGAAATGTCAGACAGTCCCCCTGCTGGTGGGAAATGTAAAAAAAAAGAGAGGTACAGACTATATTTTATATATATATATTGTGTGATTTATTTCTTTTTTGCTCTATATCCCCGGAGGAATACCGTTTGGGACAAAGGGGTGTGTTGCTGCCTTAAAAGCAAAAAGGAGTTACTTACAGAGCCAATACCATGTAGGCTCCAGCCCATGTGAGTGGTTCTAGCCATTTGTTACTATCACTCACCTTTATTCTGTAAACCATCTGCACTATATATTTTCTTTTTGCTGTTTTGTTTTGTATGTACATTCGGATATATATTTTCAAGATTGTCACTGTACTGGAGGGGTGAGTGTACCCCCTTACCATTTATACCTATTAATGCGCTCCACCTGTTGGTATATAGTCTATACCTCTCTTTTTTTTTTGAATATTTGCACTTTACTGTGGATTAGGGTATTCCACTTTTTGTGTTGAGCTTCTTCTTCTTCTGTTCAGGCACATTAGAGTATCACTCACTATCTCCGCAAAGAGAGAGCTGTTTTTTTGTGTTAAGATATATATACTGTCAAACATAGTGTATTTTAATGTTAACATAAGTACATATATTAGTATTAAAATACACTTAGAATGACGTACATATATTATCTATATATATATATTTTATATTTATATATACACGTAGAATTACAATAATAAATAATAAAATATTTTAAAAATTATATATACATATGTAATTTCATTCGAACTGTATTTTGTTATATATATATATATATATATAGGTAACAAAATACACTTAGAATGACATTCTATATCTATCTATTTATATATAAAATACAAATAACTGCAAATATATATATAATTACATAAATAACTACATAAGTGTACACGTAAACTTTAAATACATATATATTAATATTCTATGCGTATATTTAAGTAGTATTTTAACCGAATTATGTGATTTAATTAAAATTTGACAATACTTGACAACCCAGGGAGAAAAAGTGCAGAAATTTGAATTGCAAACACTATATTTTACCCTGTAACTTTCCAAGACACCATAAAACCTGTACATGGGGGGTACTGTTTTACTCGGAAGACTTCGCTGAACACAAATATTAGTGTTTCAATATGGTAACTTGTATTACAACAATGATATTTTTAGTAAAAGTGAAGTTTTTTGCATTTTTCACACACAAACGGCACTTTTACTGACGATATTGTTGTAATATGTTTTACTGTTTTAAAACACTTATTTTTGTGTTCAGTGAAGTCTCCCAGGTATTACAGTACCCCCCATGTACAGTTTTTATGGTGTTTTGGAAAGTAAGAGAGTCAAAGATAAGGCTTGCATTTCATTTTTTTCACATTGAAATTTGCCAGATTGGCTATGTTGCCTTTGAGAGCATATGGTAGCCCAGGAATAAGAATTACCCCCATGATGGCATACCATTTGCAAAAGTAGACAACCCAAGGTATTGCAAGTGGGGTATGTCCAGTCTTTCTTAGTAGCCACTTAGTCACAAACACTGGCCAAATATTAGTTTTTTGCTTTTTTCACACAAAAACAAATATGAACGCTAACTTTGGCCAGTTTTTGTGACTAAGTGGCTACTAAAAAAGACTAAATATACCCCACTTTCAATACCTTGGGTTGTCTACTTTTTCAAATGTTATGCCATTATGGGGGTAATTCTCATTCCTGGGCTACCACACCGTCTCAAAGGTAACATTACTAATCTGGCAACTTTCAATTTAAAAATGGAACGTTCTATATTTGACCCTGTAACTTTCCAAAACACCATAAAACCTGTTAATGGGGGGTACTGTTGTACTCATGAGACATCGCTGATTACAAATATGTGCATTTTTTTTTTTGCAGTAAAACCTAACAGTATTTTGACATTCACAGCTAAAATGTCAGACAAAAATACAAATGTTTAAAAAAAAAAAATCTTATTTTCTCACTTTTTAAAAATGTTATTCAGAATAAATTATGTTCCATATTTGAATAGTTAATGATAAATTAAAGCCCTGTTTCTCCTGATCAAAATGATACATAATAAGTGTGGGTGCACTTAATGTGACAGCAGTGAATTACGGGTGAACAGACATAGCGCAAATTCCAGTTACATTTTGTTTTGATCAGCACTTTGAACTTTGAACGTGCACTATTGACTCCGTCCTGAAGGTGTTAATTGGTAAAACCTTTATATATATGCTCAATTGAGGGGAAGATTTAGGTGTAACGTTCTCTTAAGATTTATGGTTCCTGGCAATGAAGATTACCAAAGCTGCTTTACATTGTTAACATATTGGGAGTCTTTTTGTTTTAAATATTTTTTTATTGTTTTCACAATATAAGTGCATATTGCGAACTGGTTCGTAATAAAGCCAGAGGTTGCCCACGCAGGGGCTTAAGCAGTAAGTTATAGCATTCATTAAGGTGAACGGTCGCCTACGTAGAGGCTTAAATGTTAGCACATAGGAATAGATGCAGATTATCGCCTGCGCAGAGGCGTAATGATCAGAACATATAGGCGTACTTGAACTTTGCAGGAATACATTTCTAAGCATTACAGCATAAAAGGTAACAACATCCTATAATGCGTCAATCTGAGGTAAACTGTAGCTGATCATGCAATACATGTAATGAAGTATATAGGCAAACTAATGCAGTGTTAAAAGAAATGACCATCCTATAATACAAGTGCTGATGTATGCCTTAGCTATTGATGCGATACTGGTAGAGGGATGCATAAACAAACAAATTATATTACGTGTACATGGGTTCCCATATTATCGAGAAATAAACTAGGGTGTCTATATGTGAGCCTGTTCCTTGAGCGTCTTCTCAGAATGACAGAGTTAACACATGATATATGTGACTAGATGAGCGCGGTCATTTCTGTGTTAAGATATAGGCATATTAATATACATCGTATAATACAACATTCTGGCTATTCAAGTAGGCATTAATGAGTGGCGTCAAGCTTTTGCCCGTGGGGGCACTACAACATTACATATCCATTCTGAAGCTGATGTGTATAAGTCACCAAAGTAAATGTCGACAAAGCAGTTACATAAGGAGCATATTCGTTTGTGAACTTGGGCATATTCAACACTGAGTGTAGCCATCTGGCGCGGACAGTGACTGAATGCCCAGTGAAAGAGAGAAAAAAAATAAAATTAAAAAAATTAAAAAAAAATTAAAAAAAAAAAACAGGGGGGGGGGTAAATGATGACATTAAGGGACCAATACTGGACTTGGAAGAAGTCTGATGTGGGCCTCACCCGGCAAAGCCGCATTACAACTCTTAGGTCGCCAAGCCTCCAGCCGTCTTCCCCACACCGGCTCCCGCCCATCGTCAGAGCCCCCCGTGGCGCTGTGGGCACTCAGGAGCAGAAACTGTCCACTTGACCCCCACACCTTGAGTCCGCGGGCAGTCCACTCCCTGCACCTCCCCATCGCCACCCAGAGCTCAGTGAAACGAGTGCCCCCATGTCTCTCCCGGTGCCGGCCACATACTTGGGACCAGCTCGCACTCCTCCCGGCCACCGGTCCGCCGGACGGACTGCGAAGACCTGCCCCACAGGGCTCTCAGCTTCGGGGACAATGCTTTCCGGGGACCTCCAACCCAGTAGCAAGGGCACCCACCTCTCCAGCGGGCGGGCAGTCAGTGCGGGTGACCCATCTGGCGGTCAGCAGTGCCAAAGTCCTCACGGACCGTCCTGATCCGCTCCTCTTGGTGAGTATTTATCATTCTTGCTCCATCTTTGGTCATTCACAGGGGCATTTTAGCTGGTCCTGGAAAAGGAGACGTAGGCAGGACCCCTCTGTTGATATCTGCTGCCTCCTTGATCCTGCTTGCTGGTGTCAGCGTCTGCGGGGAAGTAGGCCCGTGGTACATGCTGGGCCAGAGGTGTACGCGGTGGATGTCCCCCTGCTCACTACCAATCTTCTCCGCCTCTGGTTCCATCTCCATCCGCTCAGGTCTCCTGGCGGGCTGTTCTCCTTACAGCCTGTGCCAGTGTAGGCGAACGGCTGAGATCCAGCACGTGGCTCCCGTCTTCTGGAGGGCCGTCGCCATGCGGCCGGGATAACCCCCGCCGGCCAAAAAGGGGGGGGAGCGGGGCCGCACCGCCGGCAGGCACTGTTCGTGCATTCTCAGTCTCTCACTGCGGGTATCCACAGCCGGGTACCTCCTCTTCATCGGTCCCGCTCTCATGCTACCTGCATCTAGGCTTCCTGCAGCGTGTAGGCCGGGGATGTCAGCATCTCCCCTTCCCGGATTGTCGTCGGTGGCCCGCGGGTATCTCACAGTAGCTGGGGTTATGCTCTCCACTATGCTTGTGAGTTTGTCGGTGTTGGGGCGCTCTGCACCCGCTTTTTTGGGAGTCTTTTTGTAAAGTTCTGATGAGATGGTATTTGGTTCCACTGAGATTGTCTCGGATGTATGTTGATATCTCTCCTAAATGTTGGAGATATCTGCTTGAAATTGGTTCATTTGAACATATATTTTGGAAGTGTCCAGTTTTGTTAGACTTATGGAAATCTTTAATTCGTACTATCCAACAAATTACTGGTCTTAATCTACTATTCTGGCCGGAGGTTTATTTACTTCATATGATCCCTATCTTTGCAAACCGGCCTCAAAGAGAAATAATAATTCACCTACTTCTTGCTACGAAAACTAGTATAGCGGGATGGTGGGAATCCCCACTTTCGACTTCATTAAAAGAAGTTTTGGAAAGAGTGGATGATATATACTACTTGGAACAAATGGCTTACCGTGTGAAGGGGAAAGAATTTGTTCACACTCAAAAATGGGCAAATTGGCTAAAGCATAGATCTACTTTATTAGACTTGGACATTTCTAATCCTCATTAGCACTATTTCACTTAAAAGCTTATTTACTCTTTTGGTAACAGAAAAATAGCTCTGACACCCTGTTTGGGGATTTTTTAAAAATAAATTTTTATCACATTACCGGTCAATTATTCATGGACCATAATGCATCATAATAATTCCCAGCATGCACTTTCATGGCCTTATTGGCTCATCATTCTCTAGTTTTTATTGATTTGTAGTAATAGTAGTTATGAATTATTATTAATGTCTATTGTGTCCATGCAGAAATATTTTCACAGCAAAGAAAGCACCCTCCTGGGGCAGGCGCTTGTTCTCTTCACCAGTTCTGGTTTGTGGAACCTTTGAGATACAATAGGCAAGGAGTTGCATGGACGGAACTTGTTTTCCTCCAGTATTATGGCTGTCTCGATGTATGTGGCCTTGGAGATGTTCTGTAACGGCTCCTTTTTATAATGTTATTTTTATCTTGTTTTTGGCCTGTTTTCTTTGTGGCATCTAAATCCTTGTTTATGTTTGTCGTTGTCTTGTTGATGGTCATATCTGTCTCCTTCCTTCTCATGGCCGCAGATATCTGGAGTGTGTCTTTGCTTGAAACTAATTATTTTATTTTTTTTTAGCGGTGTAGCGGGACCTGGGTAAACCCTGCTGGTTACCTCCGCTATAGTTGGAAGAACAGACCCATCCCCCCCAAAGACCGGTCAACACACAGTTCCAGGGGTAGAACAAACTTTATTTGCCACAGGCGGCTTTTATACATTTCCCCATGCAAGGGGGGGAACACATAAGACACAATGTCCCCTCCCAGGGACCTCCTCCTCCCAGGGGTCTTATAACAGAACCGGGACCCACAGTCCCTTTTTCCTTTTTTCCTGCCATTCAGTGTCCCCTCCCTTTGTCCCCAGTTCCCACTACCAGAATGGAGAAAGTGTGCGAAAAAGGGGAATGTCCAAGCAGCATACACACGTTACATGGTAATATATCCACACATAGAAAAGGGTCAATTCACCGTCGGGTAGCGGTCTCGCCACCTCTGGTACATTGTAACAGAAAGAATCGTCATTTCCATGGTAGCATAGCATTGAAATGGTAACGTAAAATTTGCCATATAACCAATAACACATTACAAATATATTACAGTGACATTTAGTTACAAGTCTGCAATATTTGTGATTCTATAGACCAGTGTGGCTTCAGTTGTGGGATATGTGTCCTGTCATCTGAAACCTAGGAGTATATTTCTATGCACTCACGGGAGACACAAAGATGTGCCCTGTCTGGTGGACCTTGAGCCCGTGTGTCTATGTAATGCATATACTCATCCTCTAAAATGGGGTGAGAGCCCCTTACTCTGTCAACTCCGAAGGTAGTTACGGAAGGATCTACTCTGGTGTTTATTGAGAAGGTAAAGGTTTGCCAATATCACCATATTATGGACAAGTTGGCACTTGACTAGTATTATTCTACCAGAATTGTCAGAATAATGTTCTTTATAAGTCAACGGGACCTGGGATGCTATGAGAATTGCCACTCCCAATTTGCTATTTCTAAGGGTTGGTGCCCCAACCCCCTTGAAATGAGTCTCCTGAACAAGGACTACGTCCACCTTCATATTTTGGAAATCTTTGAGTGCAAGTGTTCGTTTTTCCAGACTGTTGAGTCAGCTGGCGTTTAGGGTAATTATCCTAATCAAAGCCATGAGCAGACAAGTGATTAGTGTTGGTGCGCAGACCTGTCCCAGCAAGTAGTTCTGAACTAACAAAACAGTAATAATAACTATGTACAGTATAGTGATAGTGAGGTTAATAGCAAGAAACAAAACAGGTGTATTGTGACCTTTTTTTGGTGTCACTACGATATATCCAAATGGATAATTTTGGTGTGCTCCTAATATAGCCTTATAACAGGCAAGATCTTGAGATCCCTCCAATTTCCGCATCCTTACAATTGTGGAGAAAACTCCCACCCCCTTCCCACATAGGAAAGACCCCACACTCCCCCACTCCACCTGTCTAAAGGTGGTGTGGGGTATAGTAGAAATATAATACACAATATTGCGAGTGGTAGAGTGAGGGAGCAGAGATTTGGGGGAGGGAAACTTAGGATTTAGAGAGTGAGCTAGGAGGAGAAATTAACATAGGGTACAGTTTACAGGTGTATAAGAAAATATCATTAAATAGGGAAGAAACAACCATCATTGGCTCCACATAGCCTTACTGACTTGTGTGTTAGCCTTGAATTGCATCAGTGGAGTGTTTCTTGCTTCCCCCAATGAGCCAGAACTTTCTGCTGCTCTTCAAACTGTGAGGGAAATAGAAACTAGTCCTTGTGGGTGTTGCAGTGTCCCGCAGTCAGCAGTCTCCTGTTCACCAGCGCTAGCTGTGATGGAACAAAAACAAGTTGGGCTGGAATGTCCAGTATTCAGTGGGTGTGGAGTGTCCGGTAGTTGAGGAATGGTGTAGTGGGAGCAAGACAAAGTCCATGCAGTAGAGTCCAATTGTATTAGATCGTCAGTGAGCGCGAAGTGTGGCGATTCCGTAAAGGGGCATTCCAATATTGGAGTGACCCAGTTTAGGATGGGCCATCTGCAGATGGGCCTGCAGAACTGCTGTCGGGAAGGAAGGGGTACTCCCTGTTGGTCCCACTTTGGTCATGTTTTCTCCGTTATGATGGAGTTTGCTCCCTTTGGCGCTGTGCCGCTTGTGTGTTCTGGGCCGACTGTATGGCTCCGCACCAGTCCGGTATACTAATGTTGGGTAAATCCAGTGCCCTAGTGAACACAGACACATCTCGATATGAGGATAAGGTATGGAATGAACCATTGTACATCGCTATGAGGGCAAAAGGGAATCCCCATCTATATCTAATGTTGCGTGAGCGGAGTTGGTCGGTAATGGGTCTTAGCATTTTCCTGGCTTGGAGCGTTGCCCAGGATAGATCAGGATGAATTTGTAAGGAAGCATTATGGAATAACAATGGCTGAGATGTTTGGCTTGGCGCTCTCATTATATCCTCTTTAATGGAGAAATAATGTAGCCTACAGATGACATCTCATGGGGCTGTATTAGGCGCTCCCCTTGATTTCCATGCCCTGTGTGCACGGTCAAACAGTACCTGAGCCTCCAGAGGCCTATGGAGGAGGAAATTGAAGAGCTCCCTTAGCTGCAATTGGAGGTCCTCCTGATCCACTTCTGGAACCCTTTGATCCGCAAGTTGTTGCGGCGGCCACGGTTGTCTGTATCATCCATCGTGCGTTGCATCCCAGAGAAGAGGTAAGTATGGGATGTGACTACAGCTTGTAAATGTTGTAACCAAGTAAAGAGCACATCGCGGTCGTCTCTGTCCCCCACATGGCGGATGTCCGCGCCAATAGCCTCCAGTTTAGTTTGGAATTAAACTTTCAGTTTCCACAGCATGTTGGCGATGTCGCTTTTGGAGGGTAGGTTTCTTTGTTGCATCCTGGAGAGGAGGTAAGTATGGGATGTGACTTCAGCTTGCAAATGTTGTAACCGAGTAAAGAGCACATCGCGGCCGTCTTCCAAGGAAGAGACTCTGTCCCTCACATGGTGGATGCCCGCTCCAATAGCCTCCAGTTTCATTTGGAATTAAACTTCCAGTTTCCCCAGCATGTTGGTGATGTCGCTTTTGGAGGGTAGGTTTCGTAAAGCATCCCTGATCTCTAGGTCTGTAGTACATACTGAGTTTGCAGAGCCCTCTGAACTGGACAGTGCCGGGCAATCTTGGGATAATTCAGGCGCCATGTTGAGGCCTGTTGCTCCTTGTTGCTGTTCTGCGTTGTCAAAAAAACATTTCGTCAGGACTCCAGATTTGCCCGGGGGATGTTTCCCTGAAGCTTGCTGTGAGGCAAGGGATTTCTTGGGGAGTCCCATTTTGGGTTTGTAGCCCAATGTAATTGGATTTTGTGGAAAGCTGCCTCGGAGAGGGTTTACAGCATGTCCATGCAGCTCCGACGTCAGCTCCGCCTCCCTGCTTGAAACTAATTTTATTTCTGGGGTCATCTCGAACGTGTTTTAGCAGTTCCATATCCAGACAAATATCACCATAGATACAATACCTAAAATCAGCAAATGTTTCTTGTGGGAAAAATAAGAAAACAAATATTAGGAACTGCGGCATTGTGCTGGCCAAGATTTTATATTTAATGCATTTCTCTTGTGACAGACTTTATTGCTGGATGAGAATTAGCTCCAGACTTGTAGTAAATGGAATGAATTTCTGCATTGAATTGACTGAGATAGCACTTTAATATTGTTATGGTAAATATGGCCAACCCTGTATGTGTCTATCTTTATCTTTTTATATTTGTGTATAGACCAAAACTGACATAAACTCTGCTATAAATACTTAAATGCACTGTACTACATTATGAACACATCATAAGACAGCTCTCCCAGAATGCGATATGTGCAGCTAAGCACAACTTGTACTGTCACATTAGCAGATTTCCATCCCACAAGTCTGTTGGGTCCACATACAATGACCTGACCTGCTAGTTTCCTAAGCCATGTCTTAAAGGGACACTCTGATGTAATATTATTATTTACATTTGTCTCTTTAGCTGTAATACAGGGGTCATCTTACAGGGTAAAGGAGTCAAACTGGCTAAACTCATTGTGACGGAGCTCCCTGTACCCCAGCTGGGTACCTCTGCCAACGGATGCTCCTAGTACTTACCAAGGACCATCAGCACCGCACCAGACACCATAAGCACTGCAGACCCCACTAACTGCCACACCTTGGTTGGGGTCTTGCTGTCTTCTACCCATCCTGGACCTACGATAAGGCTCCAGGTCCCAGTGGGTCAGGACCTCTCCTACTCCAAAAAGAGTCAAACAGGAACAGCTTTCACAAGAGCTAGTGAAGCTAAGGGAGTATACAGAGTATAGCAATCCCTGTAGTGATTATAGCTGTCCCCTCCAAACACGAGACGAGGCTGTGAGTTGAGGGTCAAGTAGAACTGCAGGTTTATTGCACAGGTTGGATTTATATACAGTGTTTCAGGTCAGAGGAACACCCCCTGGACCTGGTGGGGCACAGGAACACAAAGTACACAAACCAATAGGAACAATGGTACAAGGAATGACACTCCCACACACAGAACACAATCCCTCCCCTCTGCCTGGGAGATAATTGAGTAAAGTACTGTAAGTAACTTAACTTAATCTCCAGACAGAAAAACCACATTTTACACAAAGTACAGAAAACACCCCAAACCGTAACATATCTCCATATCCCCAGATAGCCCTGATCTGGGTGAACAACATATCCAAAAATCACCCAGATCACAGCAGAGGTTCAGGAAATTCCTGGAAGTCTCTTTTTGACCGGCCACAAGCATGGCTTCATGCCCAAAATAGGGAATTAGGCTGTGCGGCCGGTCTATTTCACATAGTTCCAATACAGTTCGAATATACGAACTGAGCCATTCGTGCATACAGTATTACTTGGAAGTTGGTTTGGTAGATTACTTCTACAGAACGGTGCTCTGTTCGTATGCATTTTAGTGAACTTGTATGGAGGTGGAAGTCCCAACGGTGTTGGTGCCGCCAAATGTCCGATTTTAATTCCATGAACTCAACGGCAAAACACCGCTGACCACATTTGGCTAAACAAGATGACCGCTGCCACGTGTTCGGCTTTACAAACGGCAACCACCAAGCCGTTTGTGAATTAGCTGCGGTTAACCACAGCTTCTGGGGGGTACAAACAGCACACTCCACTTGCGGTGGTCCGCCTGTTCGGTAGTTTGTTTGGAAACCCCATATACCGAACCACATGGGGAAAAGGCACGAACAAATCTTTCCACAGTCCTGGGACAAAGTTTTAGAGTAACCCTGGGGCAACCGGCTGGCAAATAGTCCTCTCCAAAACCCATTGACGAAGGGTATTTCAACCCATTTTAATTTTATTTCCATATAGTGGAATCGTGGATCATTTTACAATAATTCTATTTTTACTCTCTCACCCTCAAGGTTTTATATTTCTGTTACTCAGTTATTTCTATTAAATTTTAAGGAGGAAACCCACGAGTTTTACAGGACAGTCAAGTCGTATGTTCTTCTATTCTATTATTTGGTAATTATTGTGTACTCTCTGAGTAGGGGGTATGTTGAGACCTATTTCTGGTTACTATATGGATGTATATAGTGAGTTCCCAAAGACACCTGATGTCGCAAGGGATCCTCCGGGTGCCAGTTATGCCTTCCATGACGGATGGAAGCTTCATGCGTTAAGATAAGCCTGGCAGTGCATGGCTTAGCTCATTGGCTGAGGGTGATCAATTTACGGCAGGATTTATCTAAGCAAAGATAACTGAAGTCCCTTGAAGAAGCATCCTTCTCTCTGTGGAGGCAGTGACCAATGCCCAGCCATTAACAAATGGTTTGACTACTTACATTGGTCAGGGTCCCATAACCACTACATGGTGCTGCGGTGGTTGTGGTGCTTGGACTGTTTCTTTAAATGAAGGTTAACGTTTAAATTCCTCCCTCATGTTTCTAAACATAACTCTTATCTAAAGCCCCTCAGCATGTTAATACCGTATATCTTACAATAGTGACAGTTCAACACTTATTCCTGAATTCCATGAGAAAGCTACTCACCAACGTCATGTATCCTGTGAACCAGAAAAAAGAATTGATGGTTATTAGTGAACATGTATTAACATACAATAAAAGGCCGTATCTGGAAATCATAATACGACCACAACTGTTCTTCTTATCTGGGAATAGGGGTCCTAAACATTTTGTGGCTCTTACAGGGGTACCAGCTTCTTGCACCGGTGTGATTTTATTGTATTACGTACAATACTGAGAGCGGTGTTTGTAGGTTCATGGGCCTCGATTTAATGTTGTTGGATAAACTGTTCAAATGATTTATTATTTTTGGATAAACCTTTAAATTATTTAATATTGTAAAACATATTTTAATATCCTAATGTTTTCATATATATTTTTTATATATGATATTTTACTATTTTGAAAAAAATAATTTTAAATGTTCATCCAAAAATATTAAATGGAGGGTGTAATTTTAAAGGTCTCTTCCCCATTGTATTACGTAACTAACCAGCTTCAAGCAAAATTATTTTCTTACCTGTTGAACAGATTAGTTTGCTCATAATTTCTAGCTTTTTGACTTTGGATTTTGGTAATTTGGGTTCCATAAAATGACTCCGCTTCTCCTCTGTATCAAATAGGAACAGATCTTTGGCCAGTCTCTAAATACTCGGTTGGCTCTCCAAGATCCTGATCTTGTGCTAACATGTGGGCCAAAGATCCAAAACACATCAGAACCTAGTTTAGATCACTTTTTATTTTATTTTTAATCTATCAGATTTTTTCATCTGTGGCATTTGTATCCTGTAATTTTTCAATTTGGGCCTTTTTCTAAGTTTTAGGTATTTTTCCACCACTTTTTCCAATGGAGACCTTTTTCTGCAACTATAAATTCGTCAGTCTTCTTAAAAGGAAATTTATGTGAATATTGGCTGAATTTTCTATGCAGAACACTATCATGTTTAGATCACTTTCATATATATAATCATTAATCAAAAGAATGACAGAATATCGCCACCACTTCTAAGAGCCTTTGGATAAATATCCCCTGTTGTGTTTATTGGAATCCAGGTATCTTCCCTCAAAAAGTGGTTTATAGTAGGGACCCTGCCAACCCTAGTGCAACGGAGACCCCTCTACTGATACTGGAAATAATCTAATGAAAGAGCTCTGCAAATTATTTTACTAAATATTATTTTACAGATGAAGAACTAATGTAATGCAACTGACTTGGGTACCTCTCCGAAAAGTAAAATAACTGTGGGGAATTGCAATCTAATTTGCGGTATTTATCAATACATTAGCAGCTGCTGATAGACCAAAAACAATGTCAAGGTGATGGAGACCCCACCATTTTGATATTTTTTAGGATTTACCTGGTTATTGGAAAATGTTCCTATTTATGTTAAATCCTGCAGTAAGAAAAATCATAGTGTCCCTTTCAAGGAGTTTCCATAAAAATTGCACATAACGGTTTTCACCATTACATCATAAAGGAAGTCCACCAATCCCTCTTACCTAGTGCATCTGACAAAGTCCTCAAGTCTTTGTCATAGAGAGAGTCGGTCACATCGGTCATATTAATTCTCCCCTGGTTCTTTGTATGATACAGAATGCCGAACGTGCACCGAGAGAACTCAGTCTTAAAAGTTTCATAGTTACTGTTAGAGATGTAAACAGGATGAACATCATGGACCCCAGGGATAGATCTGGCATAGTCAATCAACCATTTATACGTTTCTTCACTTTCCATGGAGAATATTCCTATAACGGTGCCTCTGAGCATCTTCGTCTTACAGCAGAGAAAGCGAAGGAAGAAACATGTCAATAAAGAATTAAATAATAATTCTGAGCTATTTCATTGGTTCATAGACCAGGAGGGGGAGTAAGGCGCCCTTAGGGATCAAATTGTAGAATTTAGGCTACAGCTGTAGACAAGCTTTGATTATAGCTGAAGTGTGAAAATTTCCCAGGTCTGATAATTTGTCACTGTAAATTGCATTTTGATTTTCAATTTATTACATTTTGGTGTTTAATGAATAAGCCCTTTAAGGTTTTACAAGGTGATTACCCTAACCATTTCTCCCTGGAAACCCTCACACATTCTCACCCCTCCAATAGCCCACCTCCCCGCATACCATAGGGCCAAGCTGTTTTCTTTCTCTGTATTAGGAAATTCCTGCCTTCTTGCCTTCTTGTAACTGAGTAAAGATCGTCTAAGAATGAAAGTGAAAGAAGATAAACTGAAAGTTACCTTATTTAAAGGTTCTGTGCGAGCAGTACACGTTATCGGAGCACTCCACATTACTGGCCATTAGACTGTTAAAAGAAGAAAATCTTCCACAACAAGAGGACATAGTCTTAAATTAGAGGAGCAAAGGTTTAAAAATAATATCAGGAAGTATTACTTTACTGAGAGGGTAGTGGATGCATGGAATAGCCTTCCAGCTGAAGTGGTAGAGGTTAACACAGTAAGGGAGTTTAAGCATGCGTGGGATAGGCATAAGGCTATCCTAACTATAAGATAAGGCCAGGGACTAATGAAAGTATTTAGAAAATTGGGCAGACTAGATGGGCCGAATGGTTCTTATCTGCCATCACATTCCATGTTTGTATGTTAGAGACTTAGAGTGCTAGCTGAAGACTTGCAGTACAGGTCAGTAGAATTGTGCAAAAATGCATTTTAACTATAAATTGAAGGATTGATTCAGTCAGGCAAAGATTAGAAGGAATTTGGTTTGTTTGAACAAGCTGAAATACATTTTTGCAAAAGTCTATTAGTCAGTACTGCGCGTCAACAGCTAGCACTACCCGTCATCAGCTAGTACTGCACATTGCCATGAGATAGAAACATTGCCAGTGAGGTAGCTCAGTGGGTTAATGCATCATCTGCAGAATCTGTTCAACCCTTGGGGGTTGCAACTTCAAATCCTGACAGAGTTAACTCAGCCCGAGGATGGGTAATAGTAACATTCCCTGGATGTACTTGGAAACCAGAGTAATTTGAATGTACCTTTCCTGGTTAAATACTAGCATGAGCCAGCACTGCGCCTGTTGTGGCATGCCTGTGTCCTTATAATTGCTTGTAGAAAATAATATAAATAATAATAAATCGGTTTACATCCCATCAATTGGAGGTAGCCAACCAAGATTAGATGAATGAATTCACTGAGCTTGTTATACTGTCAGATATTCTATCTAGGTGATTGCGAGGTATTTCCTGATCAAACATTATCATAGTTCCACTAATCCTAGGCAGAGCCTGTGTTGGCATCAAACCATGTTTATACAATACTGTGCTCTGGGAGGACGGTTAGCTGCAGGGAATTCCTATCTGTCCCAGTTCTGAATAACAGCTCTGTCTGCCATCCTACCTAAAATTATTATTATTTTATTCTCACAATATTAAACAAAAAGATGAGACTTTTAATTTGATTCTGGTATCATTATTTAATTCACAGTATATGTATTAATTCCCTTGTGTAAGAACCATATAAAACAAATTAAATTAAATAAAGGTTGTTTAAAAAAAATGAAAAAGCCCCCATCTATGGATTTCAACATTCTCCTTGTTATTCAATTCAAAGTAAGTTTTAAAGTTAAGGCTAGAATTGCCGAACTGTGATAATTAAACATGTTATCTAGTCTGTTAGATCGACTTGCAGCTATTTTGGCCTTAAATTGGAAATTGACTCTGACTTTGAATTCCTGACACTTCTCATGTTAGCGCTCTATGTTTCAATAATAATGCTACCCACATTCGTCATAAAGTTCTATCACAGGTGGGATTTGGACGTTCCCCATTCAGCTGCTAGCTACGTATGGATTTAGTCTCTGAGATTGAAGCCATTGGTCTAATACAGAATCAGCATAAATTAAAACAACCTCGGCCATTAACCAGCAGCAACTCGGCTCACGCTTAGCAACTCGAGGGTTTAAGCAAAGCTGGCTTGAAACTGGGTTATTAACGGGATCCAAAAACCACACCTCTGAGTCTCGCTGAAAGACACTCTGGGCAGCAGATTCTGAACTTGGCATTCACTTGGGAGGTTTAACATAAAGGCAGGATTAAACAGCAACTTTGACTACAGACTACTCTTCAGGGATACCTACAGGATCTGTTAGGAAATATTTGCTTGGTGTGTCTGATATAACAGAGCTCCACAGCAATAATACTCCCAGTAATGTGTCTGAGTGTGTAACAGAGCTCCACCGCAATAATACTCCCAGTAATGTGTCTGAGTGTATAACAGAGCTCCACAGTAATAATATTCCCATAATGTGTCTGAGTGTATAACCACAGTAATGTGTCTGAGTGTATAACAGAGCTCCACCGCAATAATACTCCCAGTAATGTGTCTGGGTGTATAACAGAGCTCCACAGCAATAATACTCCCAGTAATGTGTCTGAGTGTATAACAGAGCTCCACAGCAATAATACTCCCAGTAATGTGTCTGAGAGTATAACAGAGCCCCACAGCAATAATACTCCCAGTAATGTGTCTGAGTGTATAACAGAGCTCCACAGCAATAATACTCCCAGTAATGTGTCTGAGTGCATAACAGAGCTCCACAGCAATAATACTCCCTCAGAGCTCTCCCAGTAATGTCTGAGTGTATAACAGAGCTAATACCACAGCAGATAATACTCCCAGTAATGTGTCTGAGTGTATAACAGAGCTCCACAGCAATAATACTCCCAGTAATGTGTCTGAGTGTATAACAGAGCTCCACAGCAATAATACTCCCAGTAATGTGTCTGAGTGTATAACAGAGCTCCACAGCAATAATACTCCCAGTAATGTGTCTGAGTGTATAATAGAGCCCCACAGCAATAATACTCCCAGTAATGTGTCTGAGTGTATATAGGAGCTCCACAGCAATAATACTCCCAGTAATGTGTCTCAGTGTATAACAGAACTCCAAGCAAGCCACGATCCTGGACACAAAGGTTGTGGCAGAAATCGTGGCTGTTGGCTGCAGGAAGCCACCGGGCAGGGAGATGGAGGAGAGAGCGGCAAGAGACGTCCTGGTGAGTCTGTCCCTGGTGGCATACCAGAGGGACAGGGGAGAATGATGCAAGGGGCCAGCAGTGTACAAGCGGTCCCCCCCCAATGGGCAGGCG